ATTCATTAAATTTTTCCTCAAAAATCAACTTTTCCGAGTGTTGATTGAGCTTACTTCTCTGCCTTGGATTTCCTAATGGGTATTCATCTTAAAGTGTGTCTTGTCAAGGCTTACCAAGGATAAAGAGATCAGAGATTGCTTCACAGGATTTACTATTTATAGTCCTGGCTCTGTATTTCAGTGGGTCACTAGGCTCAGATGTGATCCACTGTATTCCTTGAGTCTTTTCTGCAGGACTGTTATGTGTCCAGTTGCTTCCCACCCTGGATTTTTACAGTTTTAACTCTTCTTGCCTAAATGCAGTACCCTGCACCCATCTTTTTTGAGGAGCATGCTGTTTTTCCCAGGCCAGCATTGAGATCATGCAATGTTATCCTGGCTTTGGTTTTCAGTGCAAATGTCTGAAGTGCCATTTCAGTTTCCACAGAAGTCAAACTTTTGTGTACTCTCATTATTCAATACATTATTTCAAATTCTATGCACGTAAAGTGAACATACAGCGTCTACATGTTCACATTATTAGGAGGAAGCTTATTATGCTGTTCAGATGGTAGTAGGTCAGACAAAATTACTTTTACTAAGGAATACATTTTTTTCTTAATGAGCATTTGAAAAGCCTACAAATTACATAGTAATTTTTTTCTTTCATTTCTTTCACTTTCTCCTACCTTCCTCCCACAGATTCTAGACTTCTATTTGATTCTATTAATTGTTCTCTATTTTCAAGTTCTGCTGTTTGATTATTTCAAAATAAGAGTTTTTAAAATAGGATTGCAATTGTATTCTGCTCATCATATGCTATTTGTTGTTCCAAAGGTGGTTTTTCCTACTGGGTAAGTGTATGAGAAAAGCAAAACACTAAAGCTATTTCTACTGTACTTTTTTTCCTCCTAAGCAGAAGACATGGGAATCTTTTCTAGGAAGAATGCATTATAAATTTGAAAGGTGCATTTTACTATAAAGTTTAATTTTATTTTTCCTAAAATAAATAGAAACCCTGATAGTCTTCAACAGGTACCAAAGCAGTACAGAAATGGAATTTAGATTCAATTTCTCTCCATGTAATATTTCCAAAGCATCAGTTACTGGCACTGAGAAGTAGTAAAGGAAGTGGTCTGTGGAACCATAAATGGGCTTTGCTTTCACTATAGCAATAAGAAGTTATTTTTTTAAATTATTTCTCTTCCTCCTGGTTCTCTTTCGTGGCCCAGGAAGCTAGAAAATAAATGAAGAGAGAAGCTAGTTTTTAATGTAGCTTAGTATTTTCAGTTCTTCAAAAAGGAAGGAATGCTTCAAATTGAATCCAGGGCAATGCAAAGCTACCCAAATATATAAAACACTGATATAGTAAGTTCACTGTCATGAACATACGTAGAAAGGCCTTGGAAAAGCCTGAGACAATCTGCACACTTAGGCAGGCTGCCGCTAACACTGCAGTTAAATTTGACAAGCAATTTGGCAGAGAGCAGTTAATCAAGAAGTTATGGCATACACTAACTACTGTGGCCTTCAGGCTTTAGAAGAGGACTTCACTCTTGTCCAGCTGTGAGGGTGCTTGAAATCAAACCATGATACTAAAGGGTATTATGAACAAACACCTTGCATGAAGTCCCCCAAATGTTTCAAGAGACTCCCTCGTTCCTCCTCTCTTCTCTGCACTCCGAGAGATGGGTAACTCCTCTTTGAAGGCATAGCAAGGAAAATAAATACACTCCAAACAGGCCATGCGTGTAGACTGAAACAAGCTCTTGCAGCCAGAACTAGCAGCTGAGGTATTTGAGCCTCTGGAGAGCTGTATTTGCTGGAGCACTGCAGGAAGACACCTCCCTTGTCCATCCATATTCCTTGTCAACAAGATTGTAAGGCAGGGCACTGTTCTCTCCTGCAAAGCTGCATGTGTGGAGCTAATGCATGCTGATAACATCTCATGGTGCTAGCAAATGCCTGCTTTATCCACTTTTTGTGCAATTCAATTGTATTTCATTAGCTTTAGCAAATAATCGTTATCTCCACATTGCATGTTCAAGTTGATTTTTCTGGAGGCAGGAGGGTAGAAATAATGCCAAGATATTATTACAAATTGTTCCAGAACTATTGAGAAATTGCTGTTCTTTAATTCTTTGCTTCATTGTACTTTCATGCAAAATGTGTGTGACAAAATGTAATGTTGTCATTTACATTTGTACAAAATAGCAGTAAAATTCTGCTGATGAGCCCCTGGTCTGCACACATCTACTTCCTCTTACAGTATTCCTCTTACAGGAATTGCCATCACCTTAATTTATTTAAGGAGGAATTGGGCCGAATGTTCTTTACTGGAATTCAGAGAACAGCCAAGAAGACAGAAGAAAGTTAGGCAGTGTATTTCCATGACCCCTTTGTGTTCAGAGCGAATAACTATTAATTTGCTTAGAGAGATTCGCTTTGTTTTTGGAAAGACACTAGATCAACTATGCTAGAAAAAAGACGTGGTAGGTAGGAACTGACAGTTCTCTCTTCACTTTCTTTTGCTACTTTGGGAACTCTGGGAGCACTCCTGACCCTGTGGTTGTAGCTGGTTGTGCAGTGTCTATACACATACCCAGAGTCCAGTGCACAAAAAAAAACCCCAACCCATACTTTTTCAGTTTATGCCAGAATCCAGCATTCATCCACAGCAGTACAATTATTACCACTCTTCGACCACTTCCAGAATCTCTTTCCAGTCGGTGGTAAAATGCCAGTCTTCACAAAGAAATTTGGGGCTAGCTATTCCTACCCTGCTCTCTTTTGTGGTTGTTTTTGCTCTCCTCCTCCCTTGCAGTATGAAGCTCATGCATGAGCTATTTTTGACTATGCATTCTGATTAGATCATTGTGACCAAAGCAGGGAATAGGCTTGTAGCATGTCAGCTTTTCTGTCATTAGAGGTGAGCAGAGCGGGCTGTGAGACATGGTTCTTGGATCCAGTGAGGCATTCAGGTCAGATTTTACTCAAAATCTGTATTGGGAACAATGTAGAAGCTGAAGCTACAAAATTAGGGTTACAAAATTCTTTTATTTTTCATCTCTCTGCTTAGCTTTGGTTTTGTTTCCACCTAGATGGTGGTATTTCTGCCAAGAAGCCATTATATTTCCTCGTCCTTCATACCTGCTCCCTTACAAGGATTTCCCTGTATCTCCCTGTACATTAAGTTTGCACTAGGCTAAAGAAAATTTTATTGTAAGAGCCACTTATGAAGGAAAGAGCAACGCAGCAGTGTGGAAGCTTTACAAGAGGAATGGTATTGGGGAGAGAACTAGGCAACAGAGAAGTCTTTTGTAGTGCTGGAAAATGTGGTTTCAGCCAAGCAGGGAGACATCAAAAGCAAAGCTGAACTGGGAAGAAGATGGCACTTGGAGATGCTTGAGAGGACAGGAACAGGTAAATGGCTAAAGAGTTGGTAGCACTGAGAGTGTTTTGGTTTTGGAGCCAAACAAAGCAAGAAATAGGATTTCACTGTGGCACAAATACCACAGCAGAATATAAAGCCATCTCAAAGCCAGACCTAGCGACAAGCTAGCTGCTTTAGATCTCCTTACCAAACAGACCAGCCAGAGTAACAACTGAGCTGCTGATTTTGGCTTCAGGCAGGTCTGGTTGCCCACACTGAGCTGCAGTATTTTCAGCAGATGTTCCTTACTGATCACAGTCAACCTGAAATTCTCATTTAAAGAGTGCAGTGTGCCACTGAAAGCTCCTAAGATGTACTTGAGAGAGCAAAATGCAGTCTTTGATTAGGGAATATTTATATGACACTGTATAGGGTTTTGGGGGAAAATAAATGTTTACAGCTTCATGAACACTGAGAACCTTTGGGGTCTTTATTTCTTTTATATTTAAATAGGATTTAAATGGAATATAGCTTAATTCTGAATTGTTGGATGTTTTTTTTGATCTCTTTCCTCTTTTAACTTAAATGGAAAAACACTTATGCATAAACTGTAAATTGAATGGCCTAAAATTTTATGAGTCAGTCTTCTGAATTTTCTTACCGTTGCTGAAGGCTTTTGGAGAGGGCTCACTTTATTCATCTATCTACTTCATAGCAGGAGCCTATTGTCCCTAAGTCATATTTGCTATTTGATTATAAGTTTCTGACTTAAAGTTTTTTGCCAGTAGAGATTGTTATTCTTCTTTCTTCCTCACTTTTTCTGCATTTCTGTGAATCCATCACTTTCTGACTGTGAATATACGAAATAGGATGAGCCGTATGAAATACAACAAAGAGAGAAATAGCTTGAAGAGGTGGAAAGCTTTATTTCTACGGCATTAAAAAGAACCCTTAAATTATGTATCTTAGGGTTTTGTGTAAAAGAGGAGCATCATTCTGAGGAAAATACCACCCAACCCCCTTTTCTTTCATATCTGAAATCCCATTCTATTGTTTAAGACAAATGTGCCAGAGGAATCAAACAGCTAAAGCATTTTAACTGTGCAGAGAGAAAATGAGCCTTGCTCGGACCGGAGATCTGTTAATTATATGCTCTGGCTGATTGTGCATTTGATTTGCATTTACTTTCAATCAATTACCTAAATATGTGCCTTAAAACACTTCAGGATGTATAGAGGGATCCTGTCTGGAGAAAGCCTGTTCTGCTATTTAAAGTCAGTTCCTCTTCTGTTTTAAAGAGATTTTCCTTTCCGTCATTTATCTTCTAGAGCAGGTAGCCAGTGAATCTTTAAGGGCCTGGGGCTGCAGCCAGCCTATTGGGAGATCCAGAATCCTTCAGTTTACCTCCTAAACACCTAAAGGTTTCTCTGTGATTCAACCATTAATTATTGGGGTAACCCAAATGTGCTTTATTTGCCTTTTTCCTTTTCTAATTTATTTGAATTTGAAGGCAGAGACCATTCATCCTGCAGTATCTGTGAACTTTCCCGGTTACAGAGGCACTTTGAAAAGAGCAAAACTAACTTTTACTTTGGTAGCCCATAAGAAGTCTGTTAAATGTAAAATGTTCTCTCTTTTTCTCATGCAGGCTGGATTGCCATGTTGGGAGCCATTTGGCTGCTTGTGCTAGCAGACATCCATGACTTTGAGATGATACTGAACAGAGTCGAGTGGGCAACCCTCCTTTTCTTTGCAGCATTATTTGTTCTCATGGAGGTAATATTCTCTGATTTTTAAAGCTTGAATAGTTACAGCCGATTTCAAATGTGAATTATGTTCCTAGGCAGATGCCTCTGCATATTCAATCCTGCTGGAATATTGTAGATTGAATGTAGTCATGGTAGAATAGAGAGAAATTGCAGCGTGGTGGAAGCTGTCTGAACCTCTTTGATATTTAATTTTTCAATCTAAGCTTGGTCTCACTCTCCTTCTGCTGCATTTGCTGAATATATCTGACATGATCATTTTTATATATGTGGAATTTTAGTTTCCAGGTATATTGGCAGTCTATGTGTGCATAGTTTATATGTATTTATGTGTTTGTTTTGCAATTATTTAGACAAGTGATACGAAAAATAAAAGAACAAAAATAAACTAGAGTCGGAAAACATTCCTAATGATGTCTACTGCATGCTGGCTACCAAATGGGATAAGAAATTTCATGGGAGTATGGTTTGATAGGATAGTATCACTGAATTTCAGATTGGAACTGCAATTAAAAAAGATACTCAGTACTTGAAATGCCTTTCTATCTTGCTGTATAGTTTCTTTGTGTTTGTCTGCTTGACTGTCAGAAACAGTCCAGCTGTGTTTGTATCCCATTTTATTTACTGTTTGATGATTTTATATAGCTCGAGAAGATTTATTTTTACCCCGAATGTTTAGATAATTCTTTGTACAAATACTTGTATTTATTGGCCAGTTAGGCTTTTAGAATGCTCAGCAGTTTTCAGCTGTAATTTGCTGGGTTTAAACGATGTAATACTGTTGTATAAACATGGCTGACAAAACCCAAGTGACCACTGACACTGCCATGGCTAGTGAATTGCCTGAGTGAGCAGCCTGGGAAAAGCCTGTAAGAACAAATTTGCTCACACAACCTCCTTCCCCCATTTCCAGTAACTGCGAAGACACCAAGAATTTGTAAGTTGAGACCTATTAAAAAATCATCAACGGTAAAAGGGACAAAATTTGAAACAAATAGAGAGAATAATCCAAGTAACTTTAATTAATGCCAAACTGGAAGTCAAGGTCTGGTAACCTGAGAGAAAATGAAAGGAAATTCTGATTAAGGGTTTGTTTTCAAGCTACTAGGTTCAAAATTCGCCAGAAAATATTGATTTATTATACACCCATTAGTACAGGCAATTTTTTGTTCTCTAGCTTACCAGGATCTATATATCCTTGCATTTTCTAGCTCTTTCAGGGAATCCATACCTAACCCTTATTCATTTTTTCTACTGCTGCTGTAACAGTTTGTTAGTTGCATTCCCTGATGTATTTATTGTTTTAGCTTGGATTGAATGTTTTTGATTTTTATTTCAGTGCTGTGTGACTCTACAATAACTTAGTAAAACACACAGGAAGTTATTTGCCATTTACCATCGGACTTAGATGCAATTGTTGTAATTCACTGAACTTCCATTTTTATGATTTCTCAGGTCACTAGTGAATAGTTTGACAATAAAAAAATATTTTTCTTGGCTCTCTAGAATAGCAGCAGTTTAAGGTCATGAAAGAAACTTGTATAGATAACCAAGAAAAAAGTGTGAGACATTAAATTCTTCCACATAAATGAATGAGAAAAATGTTCTGTGCACCATCACTGCTAATTTTGATCTGAATCTATTACTCTTTGGACTTGCAGGAGATGACAGTCCTTGCCAAGGCATTTTCCTTTCATTTAGGTTAACAATGACAAGAAGAAACAAGTCAAAACAAAGATATGCATTGAAGTATAAGAAATCTTTTCATAGTCTAGGCATTCATCAGTTGTCAGCTCATATTCTTCACCCTTGGTGATCCTTCATCTTGGATGGTTCCCAGTTTGAAGCTATTTCCTACTGCTGCAAATGTTCCCTTTCCTATTACAAGGCTCATTTAAAAACCTGAGTGGAACTTAGGCTGCAAGTCAATTTGGAAAATGTGATTTGAGTTCTAGAGCAATGAGGGAACTCTTGGAGGTTCTGCCTTTGGGTACTTATCGGTCCAGTCTGGTAACTGTTTTGGGATGAAAAAGTTGGAAATCCTTTGGAGCATTCTTGCTTTCTATTTTATACTTTGGGTAATGTACCTCTACAACTGTCTTTTTAGTCCTTGTTCACAAGTGGCTGTTACAGGCTATAAAATCTGTCTGAATCTTCTGTGACATAAGTTCCTCTCTCAGAGATACAGTATTTTGTTCACTTTATAGTCAAATTGACATTTTACCTTAATTGCTTCAGGCAGAGTTTATTTACAACAGTTATCGTGGCATATTATCTATAAGAGGATTTTATACAGATTTTTGTGCCTAAAATAAACTTTGATCTAAAATGGTACATGAATTTTTCTGCAGTACAACTCTATTTTGAGCTGTCAGACAGGAACTAGTACGGCTGAAGACACTAATTAGTACTGTAATACTTATTCCTCTTAGAAGACATGGGAAGATCTTGGAGACCCTCTGTGCAGATTACACCTAGGGGAGGTCAGTGGCAGGGTGCTAATTGACTTTCACTTAGGTGCTTGCAGGTAATTGGCCTGAGTAGCATAGAGACATCCTGAAGCTGGTTGTTTGATCCGTACTTTCATAACCTCTGACATGACAGGCTGCCTGCAGACTGACTGTCTTGCAGGAGTGATGTGTGTGTCCTTCATTCACTTCCCTCTTTCCTGAATATCTCTTCTATAGTACCATGTCTGGATTCCAGAATAAATTTTGAGTGTTACTGAAAAGTAATATGTTCTGTTAATAGATAATTAAGTAATAAGGCAGGAATGTTAACTGAATGCAACTCTGGGTCTAATTGCTTACAACTATGTGTTAAAAAGTTTATTTAGAAGTGTGAACACAAAGCAACTGCAGAAAAAAATTACTGTTCATTAAGTGTATTGCTTTTGCAAACATTTAAAAAGTCACTGCCATAACGTTTGAGCTGATAAAGCAACACAGAGAGCTTAGAATGAAAATAGTAACTTGAAATTATTAACGACAATTTCTTAGGAAACTTTCTCCTGGGAAGTTAAAGTAATGAAAGAGTACCTATTTTTTAAATGCCAGGGTTATGTGTATGTGTTTAAAAGTCTTATCACTTGTTTTCTGCATGCTGTGTCTTTAAATGTAGATACACTTTTTCTTTTGCAATGCATTGTTAAAAGGAAATATAATTTCTGGGCCAAATTTAATATGCAGTGATACCCAAACTACTAACATTCAGCTGCTTCCTGAATGAGCTGCAGGCACAGGAATTGTGGGTCTGAATGACAACCCCTTTGTCACTCTGACATTACCATGTTTTATACCACACCACTCTGTGCCTATTAGGATCTTTGTCCATCTCTGTCATGGAATTTGACAACATGTGAGTTGAATGGTGCTTTTTCCACCAATGTCTCTGAAGGGCTCTGTCTGACTGCCAGGTGTGTGGGTTATATGGAGTTGCATTGTGTGAATACTGACTTCTGTGGCTCTGTGTTGGATCACAGTCAGTAAATGAGGCATTTCAGCTGACTGATTCTTTGTCATGGCAGAAAAAAAAAAAAAAAAATAAAGCCAAACAGCTTGGTCCAAGCTGAACCAAAGATGATTTTATCCCTCTTAGAAACTGAGAAGTCATAAAATAGAACATAGCAATAGATATACCTTTTTAACCTAAAAATAGTACTTCATTCTGGACACTTGTAAGAAAAGAAAACAAGTAAATTACAGGCTAGCTCTCATGAGTTAAAATCACCCTTTTACCTTGTGGTTTGAGGAAGCAGATCATTCTCCTGGGTGTGAACACTCAGTTTGTATTTTCCTGTCTGCCGAAGGGGCGATCAGAGTCATCACCACTAGGCTGGAGTCTATGTCTTTTCATCAGTTGTAGTAACCATGGTTGTATAATATGCTGCCTAAGTATCCTGTAGGAGTGGGAGCAGCTCTCACAGGGAGGACAGAGCACTCTGGTCCAGGCTGTCCCTGGATCCAGTGCTTACAGGGCTCGCCTCCTCCATTCAGGTGCTTGACTTAGGTATTGGAGAGCTGGTTTTCCTGCCTTTCAGGTGCTGCTGCCTCAGTGCCTGTTTCCATTCACTCAAGATCTCTAGCCTGGTTTTAGCAGATAGGTATTGTTGGGGTTTTTACGGGTCTGAGAAAGCTGTTTAACAGAAATACATAATTTGTTTTCCCATTTCTTCATCTGAGACCGAGCACAAGATGCCTGATTTCATCTGACCTTAAATGCATGATATACTTCTACCTATATTGTGGTTTTGGGGAAGTTGGTTTGAAATCAGTTGTGTTCAGGTATTCAGAAAATGTGTATCCACTGAAGAATGTAATCTTTAAATTTCATCCGTTCTCTGATGCCTGTGTCACACATTCTCAAGTAATATTACCAGTCATTCCACTAAAACCAACCCACTTCTGCAAATACAGCTACCAATTTCTGACACGCCTCTTCTTCCCATTAACTGCAAAGTTGCTGTAGAAGCTATGTGAGATGAATACTTTGTGAATGGGAAGGAATTATTGTATTTTCTTACATTCATTGAAAAAAATGTAGCTGCATCCAGTACTTCACTAGTTGATATCATTTTTTCTTTAATTTTTTTTTAGGCTTTGGCTCATCTACACTTAATAGACTATATAGGAGAACAGACAGCTTTATTAATAAAGGTAAGTTTAAAATATTTACATTTTTTAGCGGGTAGGGAAAATAGTTTTACTCCAATAGCATAATGAATAACACTTTCATTTTGAATTTAATGCTGATGATTGC